TTTGAAAAACAGTTAAACAGAGGAGTTTTTTGTAAAATTGAAGCTGGTATTTTAAATAGAAAAAAAAAGGTTCACCGGTATGGTCGCTGCTCACATTTATCTTTAACAAGTTAATTACAAAATCTTGTACTGAGAGGGGGGGGTAACTCGCCTTGAGCTGAAAAAAGACAGCTGAGAAGCTTTGGCCGGAGTAATGACTCAGCTTTCCGTTGAATCACTCTCTTTCATTCACAGCCAAAAAAAAATAAAGACTGTGAACATCAAAGAGGACTCTAACTAGCTGGGATCCCTCCCTGCTTTTTCCTTGCCTGGAAAAAGAGATATCTAAGATTTTAAATAGATATACGAACCAAAACTCTGAGAGCAGCTTCGTTAAGCTACCGTCGGCGGCAAGCCCCTCCCCTGGAAGCCAACATAGCAAAAATTTATTATACTGCCTGTAAAATCAGGCACACTTTGATTATCCACTGACAAAGCTACCACCAATTATAATTTTTTATCTTGTTTGATTTTTACTTTTATTTGTAAAATGTGTTTGTTTGTAATTCTGGTCAGTGACCACAATTTTTTTTAAAGTATTAAAACACAAGATTGAAAATGTTTCAGTCAGTAGTATTATCAGTCCTGCTATATTAGGCTAAATCACGAATGCTTCTGTAACCAGAGATTAAAAACTGGAAATCTTCTAGGAGTATTTGGCAGTATAGTGGTAGATCATCGTGAAAAAGAAACCATGTGTTAACAATATTGCAACCAGTCAACAATAACTGATGAAACAAAAAATCCTGGCTGAGATGGTTTGCGCATATTTGCATAATAGATCCAGTTTGTTTGTCATAAAGTTACATGGGAACACAAAGATAGAAGGTTCAACCCAGGGTATCAAGGCAACTCTGGAAAAGGTGGATTGTAACTGATCCAGATTACACTTGAATTCATTACAGCAATGGCCAACACATTTTGGGCAAGGCATTATAGCAAATTCCCATGACTCTGTAGCTCCAAAGTAGCATGTTGGATATACTCAGGTTCATATACTTGCCATTTAATCTATTTTTGCACTGTATTCTAAGAGACTTAGGATAATTAGTAATGTTTACAATTAACATTTAAAAGCCACCAAACATATATGTTGAAAAGACATCACTGAGTGTAAATAAATATAAGATCTTCATGTTTTTTCCTTTAAGAAGTAACACAAAATATTTATATATCAAACTTCTTAAACACCTATCTCCCTCATAGAGGACTCTGGGTGATAAGCATATTATGATCCTCAAGCCTTGAAATCATACAGTTACAAAGTCATATCAATATAATTAAAAATTGTTTAAAAATTATATTCTTCCAAATCATAGTAAAGTATTATAGTTCTTACCTGAAACTATATCATGGTGAGAGGTATATTGATACCTCCAAAAGTTTACTGCGGATCTCTTTCTATTTTGAAGTCTATTCAATCTCTCTGCTAGCCCCCTCCTAGAGACAAAAGAAATTACTTTTCAAATTCTCAAAATTCACTGATTTTCTCAAGGCTTTGTTAAATAAATGCAACACACAATTTCTAGAGTTCTTAGCAACAGAAGAATATTGCAAAAATAGATATGTGAATAGATTCATACAGAGTGTGTGTAATCAATCCTACATTTAATATAAGCAGTTTCAATATACAGTTCTTTAAATTCCTGGAATAAAAATAATAAGAATACAAGAATACTCTTTGGGTCAGAATAATGTTCCACCTGAAGAGTGTAATTTCAATCAACACAAGTGTATTTTTGACCATTGCCCTACAGCATATTACTGGAAGACAAGTGACCACTGGTAAGGAATGTGTCCCAAAATACTCCTTGTGCATACTTGACCTCATGATTCATTTCATAAGCTAGGTCAAGTGTGCACTTTCTGTAGTCCGAAAATTGTCCATAGCTGAAAAAGTTCCGTATTTGTGAAGGGAACAGCCTTCAAAACAATGTTATTAAAAGCAATTCTGAAACTTACTTATTTGCAAATAATATTCAATACTCTCGAAGTTAAGAACAAGAATTGCTCTCAGTCAGTTGCATGATTTAATAACTAATAATTCACTTCTTAAACATCAATTTTCAGCTGTGATCCTATTTTAAATTACATTTGTGAAGAAAAATCTGTATTGAAGCCACATTAAAGGCTTTTGCTTGATTGTCATATTTAAGTGAAATCTTGTATTATAAGTTCTGGAGTATTTTTATTAAGACAACGTTTCAAGTTTATGCTCTAACTACCAATGCAAAAGAAGAGGAGAATGTTGATTTCTATGATTAAGTACAGTTTGAAATCGACATACAAGTAAGATGTGCTGCTCATGATTGGAGATTGGAATTGCAAAGTTGCAAACATTAGGGGAAAATATTAAGATTTTCCCATTTTTAAATTTTAAGGTTTCAAAAATATACTGTATTTTTCAGAGTGTAAGACGCACCTTCCCCCCCCCCCACAAAAAAGAGAATGAAAATCCGGGTGCGTCTTATACACTGAATACAGCATTTTTGGTCTCCCAAAAGCCTGCATCCCATTTTTTGCAAAAATGGACATGCAGAGGGTTTGAGAGGCCTGCAAAGTGCTCCCGAGGACTGGGGAAGGCAAAAATGAACAAAATACATGCCCTGTTTTGCAAAAAAAAATGAGGCATGCAGAAGATTTGGGAGGCCTGTAGAATGCTCCTGGGGAGGGCAAAAATGAGTGAAAACAGACCCATGTTTCACAAAAATGGGGATGTTTTTGCCCTCCCAAGCCCCCAGGAGCACTCTGCAGGCCTTCCAAACTCTCTGCATGACCTGTTTTTTGCAAAAAAAAATGGGCTGTGCAGAGGACTTGGGAGGCCTGCAGAGTGCTCTGGGGGCTGGGGAGGGCAAAAACTTTTTTTTTAATTTACATCTTCAAAATCTTGGTGCATCTTATACTCTGGTGCATCTTATAGTCCGAAAAATACGGTAACTCTAAAATTAATGTAGTTACTTTAAACAACTGATGCATACCTCAGCAATTTTCTTTTTTTTGCAGAATCTTCTGGAGTCTTCAAACTTTTTTCTATTTTTTTCTTAGGAGTTTGTAGAAAGGTCTGAGCAGATTTTAGCCAGTCAGTGGCTGATCTTCCTGTGTCTGTTTCAAACCCTACTCCAAAACAGAACTGGAACTTTTTAGGAAATGCTAAATTAGTAGCTTCTGTTTCTACATTGCTTCCTTCAAAATTGTCATCATCTGATGAATATTCTGAAATCTGAGGAGAAATTGTCAAGATAGAAAAAAAAACATCTATTTAAAGAAGCTAATGAATTAATGTAACTAACCAATAAAGATTTACAATCATGGAAACAAAAAATTTCATCACCATATATCCAGAATGTGAGGACTCAACGTGACCAATGCAGCTATATTTTATTTATTTGCTAAAGGAAATAAAGTCCACCTTTCTGGTTCAAAAGTGACATTAATAATAGTTTAAAAAATATTGGTAGTATGTAACATAAGCAACACCCAAAATACGGTAGCTAACTAAGCAATGAGAATCATTACTAAAGAAAAATCATAGAAATAGACCTTATCCCGAACAACTGAACCTACATAGTTCAGAAATAGTAGTCTTCAATTTACAACAGTTCCTTTAGTGACTGTCCAAAGTTACAATGTAACTGAAAAAGTGACTTATGACAGTTTTTCACACTTACGACGATTGCAACATCCCCATCATCACATGATCAAAATTCAGATGCTTGGCAACTGACTCATGTTTATTAGGATTGCAGTGACCCCAGGTCATATAATCACATTTGTGACATTCTGAGAAGCAAAGTCAAAGGGGAAGCCAGATTCATTTAACAACCATGTTACTAATTTAATCACTACAGTGATTCACTTAACAATTGTGGCAAGAAAGGTTATAAAATGGGGCAAAACTCATTTAACGGTTGTCTTACTTAACAAAATAAATTTTGGGCTCAATTGTGGTCATAAGTTAAGGAGTAACCAGTGTGTTTCCACTTTGCTGAATTACAATCATTGTAGCTACTGTACCAAGGTTGTGTAAGGCTAACTTATTATAAATGTCCAACTAAGGTTCCACAGGTTTTCCCGCTATCCTTAAATACTGATCTAGAACATGACAACCATTATTATTAAACTACAGTCATTTCCAGTAATCATAAGCTTACTGGTAAACTTAATTATTTGAAAGGTAACTGACCAAAAATGGTTTTGCCAAGAGCCTTTGTCAGAAAATAGTCTTAACTTTTAAACCAAGGAATATTTACATTTTTCATGCCATAGCAAAAAAAGTTATTTTATGTGCTGATTATATTTGGAAGTTATGAAAAGTGAAAATGAGCACAGTAGATGAGGAAATTTATATAGGGAAAGTAAAAAAAAAGTTTTTTATAATGAGCTTATATTAAGAAACTGAGCAGTAGTCAACATAGCTAGTATAATAAAGAATTATTCATTTAAATGTGCTTTTTATTTGTTTTAAGTGATCTCCCATCTGAGAACATTCTAGTAGTATTTATAGCAATTGAACCTTCAAAGATAGTCCTTGTGTAAATCTCATTATACAATCCAATCAAAATGGATTACTAAAACCTTTGTGACTATGACAGGATGAACTGATGTTGAACTCCTAAATACCCAACTGCATGCTTAGACTATAAACTTCCTCTTTTCAAGGAAGAATAATTCCATCAAGAAAATCGAAGTTATGTTGATTGGCTTCCTGGTTTTTTTTTTGTTTGTTTGTTTTAAACCTCCATGCTTTTAGCTCACCGTTGGAAAGCAATTGACAGACTTTACACAAATTGTATCATTTCAAAACATTTCATTTGTAGTGCAAATAATTATAGTATAAAATTACAAATCACAAATGATCACCATTGGTTTTAGAAATCAAGGTTCATATATTATTGCAGTGGGACTTCCTCATCAATATGTAAGAAATAAAAAAAATTCTTTGGAAATTGGAAAATGAAAGAGAAACAAAGAAGTTCTGATTTTTTTTTAAAGAGTTAATTTCTTTTCACCTGTTTAATACATACACTGAAACAAGTTTTACTCCTTTATTCAGAGTAGTAGATAAATTAGAATTTCAAAAAAAAAATCTTCTGTGAGGGCTTATCAAGCAGGAGTGCCTTCAATAATCTTATTATTATTACGTAGATTACCTAAGTGAGACTTCCTTCCAAGAACTTGATTCTAGCTTCATGCAAACTTCCCTTTGATAAAATGATTTCCTTTTTATTTACACCTTATCATTCCAAGATCACACTGAGAGCTTTTCCTGCCCATTTACTCTTACTCTGATTAAGTTAATACCCAAATTGGTTGCAATGAATGAAATACTAAATATACCAGTAGAATTAGAAAGCAGAAGCTAAATCTATGGACCACTGGAAGAGGCAGGATTAGAAATGATAACAAAAAGGTTCGAAGGTATAATTAGCAACTTGGAACAGGATTAAAGCTGACAAATCTAACCACTGCCACACCATGACTCATATGACAATTCAGGTTTCATGGAATCTCTTCCTAATTATCTATTGACTCCTAATTATTTACACCAGTAAAATAATTATTTAACATAAGAGTTTCTCTGCAGGCCTACAACTCCATCTTTGAACTTAACACAAGGTCTCTTTCAGCTATTAATTGTAACATTCTATCATTATTCTATCAACCAGGCCTTTGGCAAGACAGGGTATAACCCCTTGCTTCATCGTGGGTTTTGTTAGCTTTTATGTTTTGTTGATTTCATTGTGATTTCTTTGATTGTTGTGAGTCACCCAGTCATTTAACAGAAAGCAGCATACAGGTTTTATTATTACAGTTCATTGTACTGTCAGTCAGACAGGATTTGACATTTTTACCTACCTACTGAGTCCTTTCGGGGGGGGGCTGGGATAAGCAGATGATGATGATAATTTTGTGAATATACATTCTGTCACAGATTATGCAAATTATGCAAATAATGTCTTTAAACCAGTGAAATTTGAAAATAAATACAACTTAAACATTCCAAATATGCTTAATAGTAGACTAGGCCACCATTAGATGGGAGCAAAGAGAGAAAATTGTATTTCCTGCCATCTAGCAATTATCTGGAATTTTGACATTAAGAGTAGTATCTATTCTTAATATTCCATACATAAATGTTCTTCAGGAAATTTCACTAACATGATATCCTGTAACATTTTAGATCCATTGGGTCCATGACTTTAATTAATACAGTTAATTAAACTGTATATGGAATTATGGCAGCTGCAGGCCAACATTTCTGAACAGCAACCATGCATAATGTTCTGCACAGATGTTAAGAATATAACAAGAAGCAGTGTATCAAATTAAGATGTTAAACAATTTAGCAATAGCACTCAGACTTATATACTATCCCATAGTGCTTTACTCTCTGAGTGGTTTGAAATGTCAGCATATTGCTCCCAACAATATGCTGTTCAATACAGTGTTCATTTTACTGACCATGGAAAGATGGACGGCTGAATCAACTTTGGGCACTTAGCCTGCAATACTGCATTCTAACCACTGGGCCACCATGACTCATATTACACTTATTCATAAGTATAATAATAGTTCTTTCTTTACCAAGAAAAGTCAGTTCAGAAGGGAAATTACGAACATGAAAATAAATGGAATATATCCATAATTCCAAATTCACTTTTAATAATTTCCTTCCAAAGTCATTATTCATACCCTAAAAGCCATTAGATGAATATTATATGTGCAATTCAGCCCTTTTCCATAATTATTTAAAGAAAAGTTTATCTAAAATTTTGCAGCCACCAATTTGGACATACAATTATTTTAACAAGCAGAAGATATGACTGTTACAAGCCATTATCCTGGGGAATAGAAATTGGAGACTATTTTCATACAACATGCTCAACCACAAAATAGTCATTATATTTTAATTTACTTTGTTGTGAAAACCAGTTTCTGTGGTTAGCATACTTCATGGTATGTACACCCAGTAAACTCAATTAACTGGGTATATCTATGATTAGAGACCTGAAGGAACAGTTTAGGGGCAGATTATCATGAAGAAAATGGAGTCATTAGGAATTAAGAATAACCCTGCTAGATTAGGTTAAGGACTGCCTTAGTCTAGCCTACTTGTTTCTCATACTGGTCAAAAAGATGCCTTAGGGATGCTTGTAAGAATGAGACAAGGAAATACTCTTGCCCCAACCCTAATCTCCTGCAACTCTTATTTAGTGGTATTGTACCCTTTGTCCAGTCACTATTTTTCCAAGCTAAAAAACCCAAATATTCTAGGTCCTTCCCACAGGAAAGAGTGCTAAGCCGTTTGAAATGCCATAAATACATAAATAACTAATAATCACCACATATTTTTTAACAGAGATCTATAACCAAAAAGCCAAAAAAAAATCTGCTGGGTTCTTCTGTACTATGGTCTCTTTATGCTGCATTGTCTATTGATTACATGTAGTAAGTGGCAAACATCCTTGAAAACCTTCTTCATTTGTTTCATTAATACACTTGTAGAAGTAATAGTGTTAACTTTTGGCATTTATACATGTACAGGTAAATTAATGCCGCTACCAATTTTATTTCCAAATGACAAATATTATCATGAGGTAACCTGATATTTCAAACTGTTAACTGTACCACATCAGAAATTTGTTTAGCTTCACACATCTTTCTTGAAAGTAATATCAAGTTCCTGCCATGCTTCAAAAAATTTGAAATGACTTTTCTTTGCATGAAAACACATGAATTGAATGAGGCATAATGATTCAACTTGCTTGCCTTTTCAATAATATGTTCTGCTGTCGATTCTTAAATTCCTAACTAAATATACCAGGGCCCTTCTAAATTATAGAACAGAGGAAAGAAGACAACCTTATGACATGGCTATTAAAGAATTATTCTACATTAGTTACCCTATTTATTTATGTAGTTTGTTTTTGGAACTCCCTCCACCACTGGGCTCTTTTTATTATCTTTCTTTACAACCAGACTCTCTAATATACTCCACTTGCTATGAAAAAAACATATCTTCCCTTAATATTCTACAGTAACCTTCTACCACCTAAGCACCCACCTGTGGACTATACTCAACACCCAGAATTCCAAGGTAATATGGCTATTTTTGTGAGAACTGGGAGTGGCAGTCTATATATCTAGAGGCTGCTCAGGTTGGGCAAGGCTTCAGTACAGTTTATTTCCTCATTTTTTCAAGAGTTTCTATTCTGTTCC